TATTTTTTTCCCAAATCTGTTGGACAAATGACTTACATGTCAAAGTCACAAAAAAATCCGAAATACGATTTCCACCTCATAGGATTATTATTTTTTTGTGAATGTAAACACTTCACGTAGTGCTCCGTGTTTTAGAACTGATCAAATTAAACTTTGGCAATGATGTGTACAATCCTTTTTTTCACTGTGTGTTTAGCGAATCTACAGGATTAAACTAGTGTTACATTTGAATAGAGTTGCTCACCTTGATAAAAAGTGTTTAATTACATAAAAACTGTTGATATCTGTTTGTTTCCGTGTACACTATGGATTCACGAATTTATATTGTAAGCCAGTCGCTAATTGTCCCAATCTACAAGAAAGGACAGAAGTCCTCTTGTGACAACCACAGGGGAATAAGTTTAACTAATATAGTTTCTAAATTGTTAGCCTCGATTATACTTAGACGTCTAACTAGAACTCGTGAAGAGCAGACTCGAGAAAACCAGTCTGGTTTTCGACCTGGACGTGGTTGTATAGACCACATCTTCACACTACGACAGGTACTGGAACACAGACACACATTTAGACGTCCGACAATAGTCGTGTTCCTGGACCTAAAAGCGGCATTTGACTCAGTGGATCGTGAGGTTCTGTGGCAGTGTTTGTCATTGAGAGGTGTACCAAAAAAGTACATTAACCTTATACAAGCACTCTACTCGTACACCACTGGTCGGGTGAGAGCATATGGCGAACTGTCATATGAATTCTCTACATCAAGTTGTGTGCGTCAGGGATGTCCAATCTCTCCATTCTTGTTTAACTTTGTCGTAGACATCCTCTTAGAGTTAACATTAAGCTCATCAGATTTTTCAGGGGTTGACCTTCTACCAGGAAAGTCGCTTACTGATCTAGAATATGCCGATGACATAGTTCTATTCGGTGAAGACGCTGACAAAATGCAGAGTCTTCTGACTACCATAAGCAACAATGCGAGCATGTTCGGGATGCGCTTTTCCCCCTCGAAATGCAAAATGTTGCTTCAAGACTGGGTTGCATCGGCACCTGAACTAGTGATAGGGAGTGAAGTAGTCGAGCGTGTTGATCACTTCACTTATCTGGGGAGTCTCATCAGTGCTGACGGCCTGGTGACTGACGAAATCTCAGCACGGATACAGAAGGCTCGATTGACTTTTGCCAACCTGCGTCACTTATGGCGTAGGCGTGATATCCGTTCGCTAACCAAAGGACGGGTGTACTGCGCAGTAGTTCGCTCAGTCTTACTTTATGGCTGTGAAACATGGCCGGTAAGAGTAGAAGATATTCGTAGGTTACTGGTTTTCGATCATAGGTGTCTTCAAAGCATTGCTCGTATATCGTGGGACAACCGAGTAAGCAATGCTATCGTTAGGAAACGAGTACTAGGTAAGGATAGCAGATCAATAGATGAAGTGGTGAAACTTCATCAGTTGAGGTGGTTGGGACATGTGTTACGTATGGCTAACCACCGACTGCCTCGACGAGCTATGTTTTGTGATGTAGGAGTAGGTTGGAAGAAAGTTAGGGGCGGCCAGACCAAAACATGGCAGAAATCCATGAAGTCACTGACAAGTGGACTGAGTCATGTTGGTAGATGTAGACTACCTGGTTGGGGTCCGCGAGATGATAATAATCGATGGTTAGAGACCTTGAATGACATGGCTCAAAATCGTTTGCAATGGCGCAAGTGCATCCATTCGTTGAGCTCTCTCAAATCCTAATCTTCTGGAATCGTCAGCACCTCTACCTTTGTCTTTCTAACCTTATCTCACTGAATTATATTTTTTGAATGATATCTTCGAACCCTAGTCTTCTTTATTAACATTAATACCTCTACTATCTTTATCACTGGGATTTGATTTGACATTTGCGTCTCTGTTTTAATGTGGTATGGCAACATGAACTGATGTACTTACGTATGAAGTTCTACGTTGCAACTGACTGACTGACTGACTGATTGTAAGCCAGTTAGCATTATTCATCATGATGTTTCTTCTAATTATGATAAGTAAATACATTATTGACAATTTACTGGCATATGTTTCATGGTTAAAATTTCAACCGAACTTGAATTTATTGTTAACTTATTCATAGGCAATGAATAAAATCATTCCATCATACTGGAAAGCATTTCTTGAGACTTATTAAATTATTAATTGTTGGTCAGTGTTGTTATTATTGAATTGTTAACTTTTCGGGTAATAACAGCCGAGAAAAAAAAGTAGACAAAGTAAAACCCTGCAGACGTTTAAAATACACATAATCAATCTTTAAAATTTACTGACAATGAACATCTTAAAGAGTGTAGACTTAACAACATGTTAAGCATTTGATACTCCTGAAAGAAGACCTTCTAACTCCCCGGGGCAGAGTTACAATGGTTTGAATTGAGTTTGCTGGTTAGCGTTTTTTTAGCGAGTTACATTTTAAGGGATGGGGTCGCCAACCCCATGCCTAGCCCTCCTCCTTTATCCGGGGTTGGGACCGGTAGTAGCCCCAGAGGGGCTCCATGAGGAGTCTAAACATTTGATGACTCTGCATTTGATAATTAAGATTCAGTTCCCATCATCAAAACCTTTTCACTTCCTGCCATCATCAAATATCTAAATCTTTTGTAATTTCATGGCTAGTTTATCTAGTGTTTGTTTGTTCATACGTTTGAATATTTCTATGTTTATTGATCCATTCTATTCCGCTTGTAGTAGAGCGTAAACATTTCTAATAGCTTGCCCAATCTGATATTGTTTGTCTACAATAATATTAGAAGTCAGGACACTTTTTTTATATTCCTCCTATATAAGAGTATATGACCTGATTAGTCATTCGGAAATGTAGAGTTCTGTAAATACAGCAATAAATAACTAATCGATCTATTGAAGATAATAATTTTCAAATGAACAATAACAAATGGTATTCTTTATGTATCCAGATCTGTGATTTCACTGTAATTTAGTCAGTCATTTTAAAATCTTCATTAATGTTTCATAACCATTGAAATGCTGTGTTTGCAATGGCGCAGATGCATCCACTGTTTGTGTTCTCACTAATTCTAACCTTCTGAATTCCTCATAATATCTTTCTTTCTCCTTCTAAATTTATTTCACTGAATTATACTTCTCGAATCATGTCTTCGCTCCGTAATCTTCTCCATCACTGCTAATACTCCTACTATCGCTATCGCTCTTAGATTTGAACTGACAGTTACGTCTCTGTGCTGATGTGATGGTATGGCAACCTGAACTGATGTACTCATGTACGAAGTTCTGCATTTTATCTGTATCGAAATGCTGTAGAACTAATTTAATGGAGAAAAAATAGTTTAAAGGTCATGAATAACGGGCGACCATTGAATACACCATGCCCATTTTCCATCTGTTTGTTCTTTTTGGTGATTGTTTTCTCCTTTTTTTATTATTTCTAGGGTTCTCTCTTCATACACAACCTATCCACTGCATATATTCCCAATCAATAATACAATACATGTACAAAGCTATTGTAAACCACATCGTCCATGGCGTAAATTATATCATATTAAAAATCCAAAAAGCTCACATCTATTTAATCATGTTTATTTAGCTCCACCATCATCCGACTTGTTATGGTAAGAATGAAATACTTGTTTTAATTTTTTCCATACATATATGATGATAACGGTCTGTGAGGAGAGCTAGTTCAAATTAATATATTCTCATAGATTACGTAGACAGAATGACTGGTTACTCATTAGTTGATGATATTCAAACGGTAATCAAGAGGCAGCCGAGTAAGCAACGCTGTTATTAGGAAATGGGTGCTAGGTAAGAATGGCAGATCAATAGATGAAGTGGTGAAACTTCATCAGTGTAGGTGGTTGGGACATGTGTTACGAATGCCTAACCACCGACTGCCTCGTCGAGCCACGTTTAGTGGTATAGGAGTAGGTTGAAGAAAACTAGGGGCGACCAAACCAAAACATGGCAGAAATCCATGAAGTCATTGACGAGTGGACTTAGCCATGTCGGTAATTGTCGACTACCTGGTTGGGGTCCGCGAGACGAAAGTCACCAATGGTTAGAGACCTTGAACGACATGGCTCAAAATCGTTCGCAATGGCGCCAGTGCATTTATTCTTTGTGTTCTTCAACAACTCTAGTTTTGACTTTCTAAACTTTTCTCACTGAATCATACTTCTTGAATAATATCTTCTAATCCTAACCTCTCCGATTACTTCTAATACCTTTACTACCTCTTCTACTATTGGATTTGAATTGACAATTACATCTCTGTGCTGATGTGGTATGGCGACATGAACTGATGTACTTACGTACGAAGTTCTACGTTGCATCTGACTGACTGAAACGTAATCAATGTAATGAAGAATACTAGTTTAAAAAGTTTCAGTCAAATATTGCGCTGTTGTTTTCACGCAAGCGGACTATTTAAATTAGGAAACAAGTATTGAATATATTCAACACACATCATTTACATTACTATAGATGTAGATTCTTTCTTAATTAATATTATTACGGATAAGGTATTAGCTTAATTTATTTAACTTGTAGTAGACATTCATTTCATTGTGATACTTACAATGTAACGCATTTAGTTACCATAAGAGATCTTGTATTCACATTAGAGCTTCGAGCTTTTCGCATGTTTGTTAAGAAGAAACTATTGATACTGGTCATTGTAAAGAGCTTCAGAGAAGAGAATGTTTATTGTCGAATTAATTAATTCTGTTGTTCGCTGTCAATAGTTATCATAAACACATTTTTGTGGTTTTCCTGGGATAAGATTATTATTTGACTCTAAACAATCTGTTTTACCGATTAAAACCAGCTTGAAATTTTCCAGTTATATCTACTTTGTGATTTAAAATGCCTTTAAAAATCTTCAAAACATTTTTTTCGCAAAGTGTATTCAGTATATAACATTTTTTTTTCAAAAAATCTATAAACTTAACTATTCACAGGTTTAATATAACTTCCACAACATATCATGGTACTGAATGGTGGTTACGTGTAATTGGAATTCGTCTAGCGGTTGTTTTAGTGGCGTTCGTCTTAACATCACCTGTTTACATACTTGCTATTATAAATTTGACTGGATTATTCGATTGGTTGGGTAGAATTTCGGTAAGTGTTCGATACATATATAGATATGTGTAATACAAGAGTGCTTTAATAGTTTTTATTCACAAAGTGTATATCTATTCATTTTTAATTATCTAGTTGAAATCATATTTTAAATCGTTTCTATTTGAATTTAGCATAATCAAATGTTTTTACCAATCAGCCTGATTGTGTTTTAATTGGAAATTTATCATACTCTTCAATGTCTATATTATAAGTATCGAATTCAATGGGTATATATGTATCTGTACTATTATCCGTTTATTGTAAATAGCATCAATATCGAAGATATGTAATGTGTTTGTTCAGAGATTCTGTTTACAAAAGAAACATCAAAGTAATCACAGTCAGTCAGTCAGTTAGAATGTATAACTTGGTACGTACGTACATTAGTTCAAGTCGTCATATTACATTCGTACAGAGACGCATTGTCAATTCAATCCTATAATAGTAAGAGGTAATTGAAGTACGAGGGAGATGAGGGTTCGAAGATATTATTCAGGTAGTATAATCTAGTGAAATAAACTTAAAAAGAGAAAGATAAAAGTGATGAAGAATCCAGGGCATTAGGATTTGAGAGAAGTCAAACAATGAATGCACCTGTGTCATTGCAAACGATTTTGAGCCATGTCATTCAAGGTCTCTAACCATTGGTGACTTTCGTCTTGCAGACCCCAACCAAGTAGCCTGCATCTACCAACATGACTCAGTCCAGTTGTCAGTTACTCTTAGGTTTCTTCCAACCTACTCCTACACTCGTAAAGCAGCTTGAGGAGGCATTCAGTGGTTGAGCATCTGTAACACGTGTCATTAGGAGTAAAATGTAAATTATGTGCATTAGTGAAATTCGCCGCAAAACTTATTATGATAGACCACCATTATGAAATAAAATGAACTAGAAAATTCTCATTAGTAAATGTGCTTCCAACCTTATGAAGTATTGAATCCATTATGTTGATACTTTTTTTGGAGTCTTTCACTTTCATTAAACTGTTCAATTAAAATCCTTCAGTTTTAATATCTTTTGATTCAGTTATGAAAAGAATTGAAAGTTCCCGCTCTTGAAAACGCCTTAATTGAATGGAATTAAATGTCCGAAATTCTTTGCTCATTGATAGAAAATTAGTTATTGCAACTAATTGTTGCGATTAATTATATTTGCAGAAATTACTTACTTACTTACTTACTTACGCCTGTTACCCCCAATGGATCATAGGCCGCAGAGCATTTTTCTCCAACCAGCTCTGTCCTGGGCTTACCTCTCCAGTTCTGTCCAATGTTTGTTCATTCCTCTCATATCTTTCTCTATTTCTCGGCGTAATGTGTTCCTTGGCCTTCCTCTTTTCCTTTTGCCTTGAGGGTTCCATGTGAGGGCTTGTATCGTGACGCAGTTAGGTGCTTTTCGTAGTGTGTGTCCTATCCACTTCCACCGCTTCTTCCTGATTTCCTCATCCACTGGAATCTGGTTTGTTCTCTCCCACAGTACGTTGTTGCTGATGGTGTCTGGCCAACGAATCCGAAGTATTTTGCGAAGACAACTGTTCTGGATGATGGCTTTGGTAGTTCTCCATGTTTCTGCTCCATACGGTAGAACTGTCTTGACATTTGTATTAAAAATGCTGATTTTGGTTTTGTTTGAAAGTTGTTTGGAGTTCCAGATATTTTTCAACTGCAGAAATTATTCATTTGAAATTATGTTTTATTCATTATTTCTTGTATTACTTACTATCAAATACTGTTAAACTGATAAACGAAAAATTTTTTTCCGTTTTAGCGTCCGTTTATTTTTCGATGGTTTCCAGCAGCAATTTTAGCCGGTGTATCAGTACTACTGACACGTTTAGTAATTATCAGTGAATATTGGACAAGACATAAAACACGTGGCGGTTTAGAAAGTGTTATTTATCGTAATGCTTATTGGTTCTTACTTTTCACTGTATTGTTATTACCGTCTCTTGGTATAACAGGGTATGTTGGATTTTTTTTTGTGCTAGCCAGTTAATTATCCGGTTAACCTTGATCGACATTCAGACATGATAGAGGATGAACTGTATAATTTTTGTTTGAAAATTTCAAGAATGCTAGTTAGTTAAGAGAAAAGCAAAAAAAAAATCATAATGTGATATTTTTTACTGTTGCTTAAACACAATTCAACTAATTGCATAATTCATTTGATTAATTAAAAATTTTGTGGTATTTTTGTATGACAAACTAAATAATTGTGTTTTGTTTTGAGTAGTCTTTAAAAATGTGAACCTATTTATTAGGTGGTTTATTTAATTTACTGAGATTTATAAAAATGAAGTCAAAAATATCTGTAGATATTATTGCAGATAACCTCGCATATAAGTCCTTCATATAGATATATAGACACTGTCTAGTGCATGCTATTTGTTAAGAGATGTACATTCTTAAGTAATTATATATATTTGTAACCATGAATCGATCAATGTTAGACCACCATTGGAAACCTGGAAGACGGCCGTTTCGTCCTGGTATGGGACTCATCAGCAGTGCGCATCCACGACTCCTGCACCCCGCAGGATTCGAGCCCAGGACCTTCTGTATTGTGCGCGAACGCCCTAACCGTTGTGATCAGTGAAGTTCAAACCTTTCCGGATGTATACAGGGTATGAGGTTGCACAACTCCGTGAATTTGATCAAGTTAGACATTAACACCGTTATATACCGGCTCAGTGGTCTAACGGTTAATGAGTCCCATACCAGGACGAAACGGCCGTCCAGTGTTTCCAGGTTTCTAATGGGGGGTCTAACATTGATCGATTCATGGTTACAATTAAAACTTAACAATCTTCAAAACAATCCCGCAATGCAATTATATATATGAAAATATTGTTGTCTATTCAGTTGATCAATGAATAAATGCTGACAGCATACACACATATATTTTACAAATAAACAAAAATCATTTCTGTTCAAACAGGATCAATTAATATTCCTTCCATATTAATATTAATATGTGTTTTTTAATTTTCCAGTTTCCCAGCTCTATTTCATCAGCTTATCACCACTGAAGTGAATCCTACCAATCCATTTGCTTTTTATGTACCATTTCAAATTGAATGTATATTTTTACCAGATAGTGGTGCATTATTTATCAATTATGTCATAACATGTGCCCTGCTTGGCACAGGTTTACAAATTCTACGTTTGGGGCATATTTTTCGAAATTTCTTTAGACGATATTGTTCTGCTCATACTATGGCAGAAAGAAAAGTTTTCTCTGAAGTAATTGATTTTTTATTATTGGTCTGTTTGTTTGAAGCCTATACCCATGCATGATGTTATACATATATATATATATATATATATATATATATATATATATATATATATATATATCAGTCGAAGTTTTTCACTTGCGATACATTACTTCATTCAAATCTCTCTGAAATGAACTGGTTGGGTACGGACATGAAATCGAGTTGGTTCTTTTTGTTGACAACTAAGTGATCCTACTAGGATCCTGAGAGGCAGCATACATCGTTAGCGCAAGATTTTAAAGTCCTAGCTAAGGAAGCCTGTTGTTCTATTTTTTTAAAAGGTTCGGACTTTGGAAGCTCCAACTTGTAGTTTGGAGCGTTGTTTTAGGAGACCAGGCATAACGTTTCTTGTATTCAAATCGTTTGTATTAGCAGCGCGAGGCAATAAAGGACTAGTCATGGAGATCCGAAAGTTATTAAGATATGTAGGAAGGATTTGATTGTTACCAATATGGTCTCGTGTGCTGTTACAGGTATGACGGTGGGTCTTACTTCCAGGCTGCCCACATAATCGAAGGGCCTTTCTTGAGGAACCTGAAAAAGAAGTTGGATTAGCGTTGATATTAGCGACCTGGGAACGTGACTGCAGAGCCCAATGGACAACCACTTGGGGTTGATCGCGTACGGCTTTTTTAATGGAAAGTTTTTGACGAGTTAGCTCCGTTCTTCAGAAGGCCTCACTACAGGAGACAGAAACCTGCGTAGTATGTTGAGGTGCGACAATTTTAGGATCGACCTTTTTAAACCCTTTCCTTCCTTGTGAGAAGTCAGGATCGCAGCAGACGCTGTTTGTCAAAGGATAACACCTTACTACTGTCACATCGCTCTACAGTTAGCAATACGACTTCGTCCTCAAACCTTGAGTTGCTGCTTTTATTTGTACTGTTCTCCAATCGACCTGTCTGGCGTGGTAGAACCTATAGAAATATATGTTCCAGCCAATATAGCTCGGTTTGGTCATCACGATATTCAAGCTCGGCCACCACGTCAAAGCAGCAGCTGCGGTAAGGGTGTGTTAGAATAGGTTTTTTTGAAAAATGAAATAATATCTTTAATTACTTGTGAAGAATTCATCAAAATTTAGGTAGCGTTCAATATTAATAGTCGTCACCTTTTTATAATAATCTTCGTCAGGCCTCAAATTATTATAGTAAATCATCAGGAAGCTATCATGAAGTTTTTTCGCCATCTTTGTTTATGATATTAACGTGACAACACTTTTTATGTCTTAGCCTTTCTCTGTGATAACTTAGCTAACGAAAAATCTGCTGAAATCCTAGCTAATATGATTCATAATACTTATCACTTATCTTGGGAGTCTCATCAGTGCTGATGGCCTGGTGTCTGACGAAACCTCAGCACGAATACAGAAGGCTCTACTGGCTTTTGCTAACCTGCTTCATTGACGGTGTAGGAGACACATCCGTCTACTAACCAAAAGACAAGTCTACTGCGCAGCAGTTCTCACCTTCCTACTATACGGGTGTGAAACATGGTCAGCAAGAGTAGAGGATATTCGTTGGTTACTAGTATTCAATCATAGATGCTTTCGAAACACTGCTCTTATTTCCTGGGACAGTCGAGTTAAGAAACGCGTACTAGGTAAGGATGGTAGATCAATTGTTGAAGTAGTGAATCTTCAGCGGTTGAGGTGGTTGGAATTTGTCTTATGTATGCCCAACCACTGACTGCCCCGACGAGCGATGTTGTCTGATGTAGGGGTAGGCTGGAAAAAAGCTAGGGTTGGTCAAATCAAAATATAGAACAAATCCATGAAGTTACTGAGCTTGAATTACATCATTTAAGATGGCGCAGATGCATTCACTTCTTGTGTTTTCTCCAATTCTAATCTTCTGAATTCTTCATGACCTTTTCCCTCTTTTTAAAATTTATTTCACTGAATTATACTCCTTTAATAACATCTTCAAACCCTAATTTTCCGCATTACCGATATTACTTCTACTACCTCTATTACTATGGGATCTGAATTGACAATTCGATCTCTCTGTTAATGTGGTATGTCAACCTGAACTTATGTACGTAAGTACCGAGTTCTACGTTGTAGCTGATTAACTGATTATACTTGTTCATAAAGACACTGTCATGAAAAACTTGCACTGATCAAACAACTCTTTAAAAAAGTGTTGAACAACTGATCATTGATTCATCATATCTTTTCTATTCTAGTGTTGTTTTTATTTATAGTTCACGACCTAGTCATGTGTGTTTCGCATGATCTGTGTCAACTCCCTTTTGATTGGCTTATTGTTGCATTAAATTATATTAAAATCTGGATCATTTTCTAAGTTTACTTAGTATTGAATGGATTATGTTACCTCATGGTATTTGTTTAATCAATAACTACATAGATTTTGGTCTACTTAGATTACGTTTTTATTGATCATCTATACTTATCCGGTTATTCAAGGTGAATTAAGATGATATAAGTATAGAATTTATGTATGAAAAGTTGAAAGCTAAGTATATTTCTTCCATAAACTCATAGCATTAATGTTAAACACTAAATTTTAGTGTCTCGTAAACTTTGTAGGATTTTATTTGCCTACAGATGAATTTCTTGAATAAGTCTGTATACTGTCTCATACAGTCTTAGCAGAAGGGGCTATAGTTAAAACAGTTAACTATGTAAATCTAACTCCGCCAGTAGAACCTTAGGGGCTACTGCCGGTCCCAAGCCCGGATAAAGGAGGAGGGTTGGACATGGGGTTGGCGACCCCATTCCGTTGAAATCTCCGTTGCCAAAAAAACGCTAACCAGAAAAAATAATTCAAACCATTTTAACTCTGCCCTGGGAGTTGGAAGAAGAATTATGACGTCTCGTGATGAAAGCCGAGTCCCCTCGGAAGTCACGGGGCCGATGCCTCTTCTGACAACCAGAGCAACCATTTATTTAGGTACATGGAACGTTCGTACATTGTGGGAGACTGGAAGACTATTTCAAGTTGCGGCAGAAATGAAAAGATACAACCTCGAGGTGCTTGGAATCAGTGAAACACATTGGACACAGGTAGGACAAGTGAGACTTGCTTCAGGGGAACTGCTGTTATACTCTGGTCATGAAGAGGAAAATGCTTCACATACACAAGGAGTTGCACTGATGCTGTCCAAATATGCACAAAAGGCACTGATAGGATGGGAATCTCATGGACCTAGGATCATCAAAGCATCCTTCAAAACAAAGAAACAGGACATTACAATGAACGTCATCCAATGTTATGCACCTACCAATGACTACAATGACGACGTTAAAGATCAATTCTACGAAAGGCTGCAGTCAATCGTCGAGAAATGTTCACCAAAGGATTTGACGATTCTTATGGGAGACCTGAATGCCAAGGTTGGAATGGACAACACTGGATATGAAGACATCATGGGACGACATGGGAGAAAGAAACGAAAACGGTGAGAGATTTGCAAACCTATGTGCCTTCAACAAACTGGTCATCGGTGGCACAATATTCCCGCACAAACGCATTCACAAAGCCACATGGATTTCACCGGATCACACTACTCAAAACCAAATTGACCATATCTGTATCAACAAAAAGTTCAGAAGGACCATGGAGGATGTGAGAACCAAGAGAGGAGCTGATATAGCTTCAGATCACCATTTGCTGATCGCCAAAATGAGGCTGAAACTAAAGAAGCACTGGACAACGGGACAGACAACATCGCACAAGTTTAATACGGCCTTTCTTCGGGATACTGTAAAGCTCAACGAATTCAAGATAGCCCTCACCAATAGGTTCCAGGCCTTTCAGGATCTACTCAATGGAGAGGAAGCAACATTGGAGAACAATTGGAAAGGGATTAAGGAGGCAATCACTTCAACATGTCAGGAGGTCCTTGGTCGCAAGAAGCACCATCACAAGGAATGGATCTCTGTTGATACTCTTGCAAAAATTGAAGAAAGGAGGAACAAGAAGGCAGCAATCAATGTCAGACGAACAAGAGCAGAGAAAGTTACCACACAAGCTGCATACACAGAAGCAAACGGGGAAGTGAAGAAGAGCATCAGAGCTGACAAACGAAAATATGTGGAAGATCTAGCAATGACGGCGGAAAAGGCTGCAAGAGAAGGAAACATGAGACAATTGTACGAAACAACGAAGAAGCTCACCGGGAACTATCGTAAACCAGAACGACCAGTGAAAAGCAAGGAAGGGAAAATAATCAGCAACACTGACGAACAGCGAAATAGGTGGATAGAGCACTTTAAGGAACTATTGAATCGACCAGCTCCACTGAACACACCCAACATCGAAGCAGCATCCAAGGACCTCCCAATTAATATTGGCGCACCTACGATTGAGGAGATCAGTATGGCCACCAGACAAATCAAGAGCGGCAAAGCAGCAGGACCAGACAACATTCCAGCAGAGGCAATGAAAGCAGATGTAGAAGCAACTGCGAAAATATTTCACATCCTCTTCAAGAAGATTTGGGATGAGGAACAAGTACCATCAGATTGGAAAGAAGGATACCTGATCAAAATACCAAAGAAAGGAGATCTCAGCAACTGCGAGAACTACAGAAGCATCACTCTTCTTTCAATACCAAGCAAAGTCTTCAACAGAGTATTGTTAAACAGAATGAAGGACTTCGTAGACGCCCAACTTCGAGATCAACAGGCCGGATTTCGTAAGGATCGATCATGTACTGACCAAATTGCTACATTACGGATCATTGTGGAACAATCAATTGAATGGAACTCACCACTCTACATCAACTTCATCGACTACGAGAAAGCATTTGATAGCGTGGATAGGAAAACACTGTGGAGGCTTCTTCGACACTACGGTGTGCCTGAGAAAATAGTCAACATCATACGGAATTCTTATGATGGATTCAACTGCAAAATCGTGCACGGAGGTCAGCTGACAAACTCGTTTGAGGTGAAGACCGGTGTCAGGCAATGTTGCTTACTATCACCATTTCTCTTTCTCCTGATCATCGACTGGATTATGAAGACTTCGACATCTGGAGGGAGGCATGGTATCAACTGGACAGTAAGGACGCAGCTGGACGATCTGGACTTCGCAGATGACCTGGCTCTTCTATCGCACACTCAACAACAAATGCAAGAGAAGACGACCTGTGTAGCAGCAGCCTCTGCAGCAGCAGGTCACAACATACATAAAGGGAATAGTGAGATTCTACGATGCAACACAACATGCAACAACCAAATCACTCTTGATGGAGATGGAGGAGAGGACGTTAACACCTTTACATATCTTGGCAGCATCATCGACGAGAAAGGTGGATCCAATGCAGATGTGAGGGCGCGGATTGGCAAAGCGAGGGTTGCATTTCTACAGTTGAAAAATATCTGGAACTCCAAACACCTTTCAAACAACACCAAAATCAGAATTTTTAATACAAATATCAAGACAGTTCTACTGTATGGAGCGGAAACTTGGAGAACTACGAAAGCCATCATCCAGAAGATACAAGTGTTTATTAACAGCTGTCTACGCAAAATACTTCGTATTCGTTGGCCAGACACCATCAACAACAACGAACTGTGGGAGAGAACAAGTCAGATTCCAGTGGAGGAGGAAATCAGGAAGAAGCGGTGGAAGTGGATAGGACACACACTACGAAAATCACCTAACTGCGTCACGAGACAAGCCCTCACATGGAACCCTCAAGGCAAAAGGAAAAGAGGAAGGCCAAGGAACACATTACGCCAAGAAATAGAGAAAGATATGAGAGGAATGAACAAACATTGGACAGAATTGGAGAGGGAAGCCCAGGACAGAGTTGGTTGAAGAAAACTGGTTGGCGGCCTATACTCCATTGGGGGTAACAGGCTTAAGTAAGTAAGTAGTAATGTAAATCTAGTCAACACTTACAATCTGTTTCTAAAATGTAGATTAATTCAATTAGTTCAAGCCTAGAAAGTAGCAGTCAGTGGCGAAGAGAACAACCACACATACTGGGCAATAGCAAGGAGGAACACAATAAAATCAACAACAAATCAACAATATGCTAGTCATGTTTTATCTAACTGATACAATTTCATGATTCCCATTGTGAAAATTAGAACCGCGGATATAAGCGAACAATATTGTTTTCGATTAGATCGTCATCAGGCTTTACTCTAATATACATGAATATTTATACGAAAATGTTAAACCAATCAAGGCAATTTATGAGTCAATAATCACAGTGAAATGAAATAGATTACGTCACTACACATAATAATAGGTAAAAGTACAAGTTGATAACTGTAGGAAGACAGGTGTACTGATAGTAGTAGTGAGAAAATTATAAAATACGATAACAAAAGTTTTATCAATAGTAGGTCACATGTGCATAAATAGATTTAAAATAACCATTACAAAACATTAAAACCATTACGTAATAAGGAGTGTATACATAATTAGATAGTGAAGGATATAAACGGGAAGAGGCTGAGAATTACCAACAAACACAGGATGTGAAAATAATGCTAATAATAACAAAATAAAATTTTAAAAAATTTCAAACGTTCTTTGAGTCAAATCCGGCCACGGAAGAGATAGGGGTATCACTAATTTCTTCTGAACACATGAACTGGGGTTGAATGTACGAATTAATATGTCTTCTGCTACTTGTAAGAGACGGGATCGAACTCCGTTGGGAAATGGAGTTATACGGTTAGAGTAAAGCCTGATGACGATCTTATGGAAAACAATATTATTCGCTTGTGTTTGTTGAAATTTTCACAATGGGAATCTTAATATTCTTAAATTTCATGATTGTTAGTTAAATAAAGAATGTCAGAGTAAATAAGTCGTCTAGGACTAATGAGTTTTAAATGATCAGGGTTTTTGACTCTTTTCGATTTAGAGATCAACGAAATTCTAATGCCTTCTCTGTTTGTAAAAAAAATTCCTTGATGATAATACATATATATTTTTCTCTCTCTCTTTCTCTTTTTGTACTATGCATAAACTAGCCTCAACCGGAAGCATTTGCATTTTGGAGAAACTATGCATTTCTGTCAGTTGTTCATACAGTGATTATTGCTTATACACCAGTGTGTCCAATCATCTATGTATTTGGTTTGCTATACTTTCTATTTAGATATTTGGTTGATAAATATATGCTTGTATGGATTTATAGTCCATTACAATCAGATATCAGTGGATGGACTGAAATGTTAGTTTTACTAGTTGATTATATTGTGTTAGTGTGGTTATGTTTTTTATTAATGAAACTTTATCACTAGATCAATCAGAATTAGACATTAACACCGTTGGATTCCGCCCAGTGGTCTAACGGTGAGGGCGTTCGCCTACGATGCCGGAGGTCCAGGGTTCGAATCGAGCGAGAGGTGCAGGAGTCGTGGATGCGCACTGCTGATGAGTCCCATACCAGGACGAAACGGCCGTCCAGTGCTTCCAGGTTTCTAATGGTCGTCTAGCAATGATTGATTGGTGATTTCAAATGTGTAAATAACTTACGTTTTGTATCGGTTACAAATTATTCACAATATATAGAAATGAGTAAAATTTCTTTATTTTTTTCGATATTATTATTATTATGTAAATTTAAGCGAAAGTGTATATTCATTTGATTTATTAGCATGAACTGTACTAGTTAGTGTTAATATTGTGGTGTACATAATCTATTTTTTTTTTTAAGCTCATTATGAATGAAGGTAAATTGTATAGTTTTAACAATTTTAAAAGTTACATAAAACAACAATTATTAAAGAGAACAAACGGTTTTTTTGGAAAACTTTTTCATCTAGGCCTACAATTATAAAAACCTAAATTATTTTATAATGATAAAATAATCTTTTCAAGTTGAATTAATGAGCTTTATAAATTAAAATTGGCCAACTTCATGTCGATTAGGTCTGAACCTACTTATTGACTTACTTACTTACACCTGTTATCCCCGATCGAGCATAGGCCGCCGACTAGTATTCTCCAACCTACTCTGACCTGAGCCTTCCTTTCTAGTCCTGTCCAATCGTTAGTCGATCTTCCCATGTCTGGCGTATGTGAACGTTGGTTTTCCTCTTTTTCTTTGACCTTGAGGATTCCAAGTGAGAGCTTGTCTTGTGACGTAGTTGGGTGCTTTCAGCAGTGTATATCCTATCTACTTCCAGCGTTTCTTCCTGATTTTCTCTTCCACTGCAATCTGGCTTGTTCTCTCTCACAGTAGATTGTTGCTGATTGTGTCTGGTCAACGGATCCGAATTACTTTGCGTAGACAACTGTCAATAAATACTTGTATCTTCTGGATGATGGCTTTTGCAGTTCTCTAAGTTTCCGCCTCATACAGTAGCACTGTCTTGACATTTGTATTGAAAATCTTGACTTTGGGGTTGATTCATACTTGTTTTGACTTCCAGATGTTGATCAATTATAAAACTGCTTTGTTGATCCTTACCTTCTTATCTGCATTGGATCCACCTTGATTAAAAGTCTGTACAAAAACCAGAAGAGTACAAATCAGAAAATAGTTTGACATAGTTGTTATGATAACAGTAGTGACACAAAAAAATAATTCTTGCTAAGAATATCATATTGAATGAGAGAAATAAGTGTATAATTGAGCATCAAAAAAATAACTGTATTTCATCTTATAAATATTACCAAACTTTCTTGTTTAAGTTGAAAAAAAAACAAGTTTGTTTGTATTCTACGATGACCGTTAATTATTTAACATTGAATAGTTAACTACTTCAATTCCGTATCCATTCAATCAATAAACCATTTCGTATTACTTAATCAGTCCCGACTGTAGCTGCTACCTTGACGTGGTGGTCGGGCTTGTCTATAGTCATGAACCAACCGAGCTATACTGGCTGGAACATATGTTCCTGAAGGTTCTACCATGCCAGGCAGGTCGATTGGAGAACGTTGAGGTCTGAGGGCGAAGTCGTACTGCTGACTGCAGAGAGGTGTGACAGTAGTAAGGTGTTTCCCTCGGACAACCAGCATCTGCAGCGATGCTAATGTGGGATGGCAACTTGAACTTATGTACATAAGTACGAAGTTCTACGTTGCAACTGACTGAATGATTACTTAATCAGTTAGAGTCATTTATGCGCACTATAGAATCTGACACATATACATCGATTTGGATTGTCGTTCTACATTAGCTCAATCAGGTATAATTATTTCAATACAAGTAAAAATAGTGTTAGTATCAGTAATGATAGGGAAGATTAGGTGTAGAAAAACTAGACTCAGGTTCTGAAAAAGGACGAGGAGTGAATGAATATATCTGCTCCATAACGAACAATTCTAAGCCATGTTGCTCAGTCACTAACTATTGGTTACAATAATCACACAAACTTTAACCAAGTAGTCTACACCTATTTAAATGCTTCAGTTTAATTGTCACTGACTTCGTAGATTAGCGCCCCATCCTGATTTAGCTTTTTTTTCTAACCAACACCGGACTGTGTAGCCCGTCGATGTAGGTAATTGTTGAACATGCTTAATACATCCTAACCACCTTAATAGACAAGGATCCACTACCTCATCAACTGATTTACCCTCTATATCTGGTACCCTATACTTCACCTCAACATTGCTGACTCCGTTGTCCCACAATACTCTATCAATACCTCAAAGACATCTGCGATCGAATCTTAGTATCAACGAATATCATCTATTCTTAATGACGAATTTTTTACAGCCATGATGTACAATGAACCGAACTGTTGCTCAATATACTCATTCTTTGGTTGGTAGATAGATGCCACAATTGACATGCGCTGGCACAGGCCATATCATAGAACTGAACAGAGACTGAGGTATTTAGATTTAAACATCGATTATCTGGTTGTTTAAACTTGTTAATATAAATTAAACCATATCTTTATTGTCCATTATTCATCAAATATTATGGTTACTAAAAGATCTGTTACACAGTTATTGGCTATGTAAAAGTACTTATTGATAATGTTAGTTTAAAGCATATATCATGTCTAGTCTTCGTAATTCCTAGTTAAAACTTAAAGTAACACTCTTGATGTCCAAATTTATACTAAAAAAAACAAAGAATCATCAGCCGTTGTTTTAAATGATTATCATTTTCTCCAACCACATCTTACATAGTGTTCATTCTTAGTTTATTGTTCCACATCCTTCTCAATAATCACTCGTATAACTGTGGTCGAAGCACAGCTAACGTTAACTACTAATATATCTATCTAGTAAGTAACATTACTAATCACCAGGGTTCGATATAGTGTAGTTTTAATATCAAATACACTCCCTGATCCACTGCACTGGGTCAACCATCTTGAGTTCAGTTGTTACCCAATCACCAATTCATGTAAATAACCCAATGTTAGTAGTGCATTTTCTCAAAACTGCCTGACACATAATAAATGTCAATCACAAATGAATGGTGTTTCTTCGGAATTTCGAAGATATGCAGTGTTTATGTGTCTCACTTAGCATAAAACTGTGGCAGATGTGTTTTTACTATGTTTTCCATTGTAGTATAAACCACGATGTTTGTTTACATGGCTAGATGACACTCTTTAATCGATAAAACTTGGTTCGTTATAAAAATTATTCCCTAGAGTTACTTGGATATTGTGAAATGCATTTTATTTTTAATTTTATCTGATTTCATTACTTACTTGTTCTTATTTTTTTTTTATTTCAGAGACAGAAAAAATTATCAATATATTTATCATTTAAAATGGTTTCTTCAAGCAACTCGATTTAGTTTAGCCGGAGTTTGTATAGCATGTATCAATGTGTTTGCTTTCTATTCGTTACGATGGTCTTCTGCAGAATTACGTCCATTGATCATTGCCTATTTTGTTTTGACTGTAACTACAGCAGTAATATCTGTGATACTTTCTACTTTTGTCAAATATTATTTATCATCTCTTATATGCCCTAGTTCTGTATGCAGGAAGGATTCCAGTCATTATCGTAAATTACTTGAAGTAAGACTTTTTTTATTAACTAGTGTTGCCTTCATAGAGTATCTGATCATGAACTATGGTCACATTATTTTGTTTCTTAAAAATGGGTGAAACAATGTCAATGTTGATTGTGGTACTTTTGTTTAACTGGACGTGGAATAATTACGGACTCTTTGTTGTAATGATAAGCAAAATTCGTTATTATAAATCAGTTGACATTGCTTCTTCAGTTGTTCCACAAAGTGATAACCATTTTACTTTTGATTAGATCTTCCATTATTGATTCTAAATGTTTCTTATTATTTTTAATTGACAACTAGGCGATGTATGTATTTCTTCTTCTTCTTGATAAGTAATTGTTTAACTCTTCTTTTGATCTCTAATCAACTTGGATATGATTTTAATGGCCACACGTTAATTGCCATCAACTCAACAATCCGTATGATTTATTCAATAAACAAAATTTACTATATACTTGTTAAGTGATTGCGTTTGATGACATATCACTTGTTTTTACACATTTGAAATCATCAATCAATGATTGTTAAATCACCATTAGAAACCTGGAAGCACTGGACGGCCGTTTCGTCCTGGTATGGGACTCATCAGCAGTGCGCATCCACGACTCCTGTAGGCAGTAACTACCAAAGACAAAAAATGGGTGAGGTCACGCAAAATCCCTGGATCAATCAGAGTTAGACATTAAAACCGTTGGATGCTGGCCCAGTGGTCTAGAGGTTGGGCGTACACGCACAAGACCGAAGGCCCCGGGTTCGAATCCTCAGAGATGCAGGAGTCGTGGATGCGCACTGCTGATGAGTCCCATACCGGGACGAAACGGCCATCCAGTGCTTCCAGATTTCTAATGGTGATCTAACACTGATTGATGATTTCAAATGTGTTACAGCACTAACTCTAATTGAAAACTTGACTTGTTGTATAAAGTGAAGTTGAGCTTATTAACGGTAAACAAACTAGTCTCAATTATTTTATAATGTACTGAAGCTGTCACGTCCTCTAAGCTGGATAATTTCATTGTAAAGTTCCTTTATCTTTTAGAAAAAAACCGACTTCATGTAGAAATAAGCTTTATGATGATTGTTCAACAGACTGATAGGACGTAACGCTGCCGAAAACTCGATCTTGAATTTAAATTTACAAAGATATTTTCTTGATATGTAACTTCACCTCCCAAGAGGAAGACTGTTTCGTTCTTGTTGTAATGTTTATTATCATATTTCATTTGTGTCATAAAACGTACATTATAGTTCATGGAATATTTTTCAATCAGCATTTTAATCTCTTTCTCATCTTAATCACTGACTGTCATTAATTAATCAAGTTACGACTAGGTGGATTAGTGATTAAAGCATTGAATTTCCAGCCATCACGTTTTAGGCTCAAACTCCTCACCCTCAATAACGAAATGTATATGTATCGGGTCCGTGTAAATAAACCTGTATTTTGTGAATGAGTCACACTAATTGAAGTACGATAAATATCCACCTTAACTTGCTGTATGAATGTTAAAAGTTGTTATCTATCTGATAAAGAAATATGAGTGAGATATGATGAACCTGTGTAAATTTATCCGAAATTGTTTTCTATTTACAAATACCTATTGATATACATGAGTCAATATGATGTAACTGGAATTAAATCACTTTACATTTCATGATCTGACTCCGGCGTAGAACTGCATGCAGGATGTATTCCATTTCCGTGTCTGGTGTACGTACGTACGTATGTCCGAAGTTATACGTGGTAGCAGACTGACTGACCTCCGTGTCGTTATTTGTTTATTCTAGAATATTCTTTTATCTAACCTATAAATATTCATACTATGATCCTTTCACAACCACTATTCTTTGTATGAATCTTCTTTGATGAAAACGTTTCATAAAATATGATTTAATTGTTGATGATTAATACTCATTATTGTTTCAGTTGAAATTAGCTGATGACAAACCATGAATTATAGCGATTTCATGGTATTCTGCTACTCTAATTGTTCTGGCTTTAATCAAATTTAATGTGTCCTTGATAATGACAGAAATCTTTTTTAGCCGCTGTCAACTTTTAGCATTCAGTGTGTTAGATTGCATAGGGTTGTTGTTTGTTTGTTACAATGAAAGAGCTATGTTTTGTAGTGTAGGAGAATGTTGGAAGAAAGCAAGGAGCGGCCAGACCAAAACATGGCACAAATCCATGAAGTCACTGACAAATGTACTGAATCATGTTAATAGATGCAGACTACCTATCTGGTTGAGGTCCGCGAGACGAAAGTCACCGATTTTTAGAGACGCTGAACGACATGGCTCAAAATCGTTTGCAATGGCGCAAGTACATCCACTCTTTGTGCTCTTTTTAATCCCTAACCTTCGGAATTCCCCATCATCTCCATCTTTCTCCTTCTAAATTTATCTCACTGAATTATACTTCTTGAATCATATCTTCGCCCCCCCCCCCAATCTTCTCCATTACTGCTCATACTTCTACTATCGCTATCACTGTCAGATTTGAACTGACAGTTACGTCTCTGTGCTGATGTGGTATGGTAACCTGAACTGATGTACTTGTGTACGAAGTTCTGCGTTGTATCTGTCTGTCTGTCTGTTACAATGAAAATATTTCTGAACTTTTATTCAGTGTACATTGTTTTAGCGCTATATCAAATTATTTCTCAATAAATTATTATTTTTAATTTATAATTATTTTAAAATATTATTCAATAAAATATTATTTTTC